ACCTGACACTGCACAACTCTCCTTTCTGCTGTACTCCTTTATCTGTGTGTTATATTCTTATATTCCCATAATTTACTTTAATTTAAGTGGTCAGTATGAATTTTATCTTGACCTACTACTGTATTGACTACTTCAACATGACAGGTTAAGTAGTGCTTTGGTTATATATATACACTTGCCACACTGCTGCCTTTTTCTCTCTCTCTTCTCCTTTTCAGAACCCCATTCACGGTGGGAAATCCTTGGCGACTCTAGAGAACATGCACCCTAAGTACATGACTGTCTGGATCACAGCTCGTATCAAGCGCGTTCCTTATGACCTTTCCCAACAAATTCACTATTGATCTCGGCAAATCGCCAAAAGAACCTATTGTGCATTTTCCTTCCTTATTTGTACTCTACTATTGAAAATGAGGCTGTATAATACTGTTTCTGTCAGTGACATGGTGTAAATATGCAATCAGAAACTGACTCTTATACTTAATTTAACTGCTATAACTTTACAGTAATTGTGAAAGCATTTGTGACAATTTGATCTAGCCTGTAAACTGGCGTGACTCTTGTAACGTAGTTGTTTGAGAATAAATTATTATTATTATTATTATTAATGTAGTTAACAAAATTACTATTTTCACATTCACTTGAAAAATCGTCCTCGTTTATGCTGAGTCATAAGCCGAACCATCAGGCTACAAAGTGGGCTTACATTTAAAGTTCGCTCACGTTAACTGATGTTTGAAGTGATTTTGAGAAATTTAGACTCCCAACTATAATATTCATATTAACATTGAGCTAATCAAATGGCTGGTCTATGAGACTCCGACGAATTCACTGGTACTAGGAAGTCTGTCTAGTCTGTCCAGTTGAGTGATTCATTTTTCTGTGTGTTTATGTCACTATTTTATAATTCGATTGTTCCTAGTCCGCGCACACTATCCAAACAAACAACTTATGAAACATGACCATCACAGATTAACATTCATGTATTTAGTCGAGTTAATTGATGAATCCAACATCTAGTTGGTTCATATTGTTATTGGATTTTCTGTAACATTCTGATTTAATAAACATTCGTTTCGAAGTTGCCTAAATCGCGTCCATTTTTATCTAAGATACTGTTAAATTCTGTAAGATTAGATATTTATGGAACCGAACATTTTTTAGTTGCAACTGTACATTTCTTTTCACGTGTGCGATTATCTTGTAAGAACAATGGAACAGGTCTGTGTGTGACTGATTTTATTTGTTGTTTTAAGCAGATTCTTTATTTTTGACTACGAATTGGCTGAAGGCGCGGGTTAGTTAACAAATGATAACCGCATAAAACATGAAGGAACTGCACCTCATCGACATATTTTTGGGTAGCCCTTTCCTACTCATATATTCTAGTCTTATTTTCGAACCTTCTATTCGCTTGCGATCTCTGATTACCAAATTTAGGATATGTAAGACAAGATAGGTGCGATAATTAAGGGAAACAAGATAAATGCCATTTGGATGGTAAACTATGCGACGTGAACAGAATGTTTTTGAATATAACCAGGTTTGCAATCGTCAATGACAGTGAAAGTACTGAGGCTCCGTGAACTTATCAAACCAACATTTCGATGAAAGTTTATCCTAGGAAGAAGTTCATAAAGCAACCTGAGTTTAGTTGTGAGGATTAGATCAAATACGTCATTGCAGGCTCGAAATATGATATATAAATCGCATATTTATTTGCTTTCATTATGTAGGCATTATATTTCGTACCATGGCAGTTTCGATGTAAAAAGTATTTTCATATATACCTTCCTCATCCAGTTGTTCTATTACATGATCTGAATAAAACCTAGTACAGTCACGTTTCAGAAGCTTGATATATCTCAAACGAGGAATAAACACCTTATACAAAAATACCTCTTGTTACCCTTCAGACACAAACAGATTGTTGAGACTCTCTTAGAGGGATATCTGTTGTAAGGGTTGGTTGTGAAATTCCCTAATGGAGACAATAATTTCGGCCCTTTCTTATAGAAGTACGCTCGATGTTTACTTTTGTTCCTCACGTACCTTAGTACGTGATAAAACGGTTCACATCACTGTAGTCATAATAGCAGTTCTCAACCAAAAAATATAAATTTATGTAGGAGGTCCCCAATGCCTCTAGTAGGGGACCCTAGCATGTTTAACAAACGAAAGAGAATCATCAGTAAATGCTTTTGATTGTCTTAATGCATCATTTAATTTATCGCATAAGCTATTAAGGCGCGTACATAAAATTTCACCGTCTATCTTTATACGAGGTTTAAAAATTAGGATCCAAGACATCACGATGGCTAGCTATATGCCCTGAAATGAGCTAATGCTAATCGATTCCTGAACTGCTAACCTCGAACTGTCAATCGCTAACTGACAAGGTGGACCATCCCCAATCCCTAGGTAGCCCAAACATGTGTCGAAATTGCGTAGTTTTCACAATTTAAGAGCCCCGGTTAAATGATACACATGTTGACTACTTATTATAACTTCGTAGTTTCAATATTTGCCGTCAGGACCGATCAGGTATCTGTTGTGGTTTCGTTTTGGCTACATTCGAAAATATGAAATAATATCGATCTAATCCTTCAAACGACTTTATTGACTGTCTGACTCTAAGATGTTGTCCAAAATATTTTTGTAGGCACAGCAGTGTTCATTTTACGGATAGTTACATGAATCTGAGGTTTACTTCAACCGCGCCATCTATATTATTTGATGAATTCACCTAATTTGCTGTTACTGTCTTTAGTGATTGCTTTTGATTTAATTGTAACTGTAGTTGTCCTGCATCACTGGGTCACTAAAATATGGTTTAATTTTTCACTCGTTCGAATGTGAAATTGAACCTAGTCATCAAAAATTATATAAGGATATCAGTTAATCGTAGACATGCTCCATTTCCTAATCCCAGAAAGAGTACAATCTCACACCAGACAGAGGAAGTTGCATGCTGGTTTTACTCAGAAGAAAATATCCTCAAGCTGAAAATTATGTTCTATACCACGGATTGTGATTTGTTTACGACTGACTCATTGGAAATCACCATTACGGTGTTCCTTTACTATCCAAAATTCTGCTTTCATGTTCGCTGTCCCAATGAAAATATTTTTCTAAGGTTTGATCGATTTACAAACCCCTGTGATTTTGGAAGGAAAAAGAATGTATGATGAGAAAAACTCTGTTAAAATTCAGGAGCTAAGTGGGCCTATAAATCATGAAATTAAACCTCTGAATCCATTTCTTACTCAGAAACTCCAATCCTGTAAAAACTCTCCGAGTATATTGAAATTTTTGAAGAGCTCACAGGTGGGAGACTTGTAGCGTATTGGAATTACTTGTCGCGAGATAACCAAGTTAAATCCCTTTACGGCCAATAATCAAATGACCAACTGTGATTGGAGGTCGAAGCATATGTATTCATGACCTCGTGATATCGGAAAAAATATCAAGATTGCGATAAAAGATGTGGAAGAATCCACCGAGGCAACTGAGCAACGTCAGCGACACGTGACGCGGGCAATTAAGGTTTTTAGTACAGTTAAACGAAGGGGTAGAAAAAAACAATCACTGATGCAATTGGTTACAATAATGAATATTTCCATTTCACCAATCGTGTTCTCTTCATAAAAGTATTCCACTACTCCAGCCCCCAAATACAAAGGGTTTACACTTTCAGTACGTAGCGGTTACGTTCGGGGGACTGATCGTCCAACGTGTGATCGTAATGAGAAAATGTTGACGAACAGGAAGCGATCCATTATTCTCCAGTTGTCACCAAAGGTCCTTCACAGAGATTGGTACCAGCGGTAGTGTGCCGTGTTTGCTGTTTGAGTTGACATGCCACACCAGCGTGGCTCGTATAAAAAATCTGAAGATTGTGTTCGTAGTAGTTTGAACCAGAAAACTCTGCAGACGTAGAACGGGAACAGATTGAGCGAAGGACCCAAAAACGACCATAACGACTAAGTACGAAACCATACCCATGCCAGATATATTCGGTACCAAATCATGGACTGAGTGATTGACAAGAGCGTGGGTGATCAGGCCAGATTCCCCTCCAGATTGACTAAAGTCGACGGTGCCAACAAGTCCCACTGAACAGATTTTACACAAAAATTTGCAGAATGACAGAAATAGTATCAGTTTGCTTGCAAAATTGAGCGTACGTTAGATTTTGCTATAGTCTTGCATCATAACATGGTGTTCCGCTTGGAAGAGAACAATATACTGAGCTGAACATCATTAATAAGTCAAGATGTGCCACTGGAAGCTGTCTTTTTCCCCCTTCTTTTCTCATTTTGAGCAGCTGCATACAAATCTAGATAATAAGTCACCTAGATCACTTTCAACTAAGGATACATCTAGAGGATAATTGCTTAAATTGAATGTGTAGTTTGAATCATATCTAATACGAACTGTCTCATATTTTCAAGTGGTGAAGACAGTTTGATATTCACCTAACTTTGAAATCGAATAAGGTACGCCTGCAGCTTTATCATATTCTCATAGTAAACTTATTTTCAAAGTAAAACATCGTCAACGGAAAGTAACAGCTCAGATGATACTTGCTAAGGTGTACCACTTGAATAAAGCGAAGAGGAAAAGGTCCTGATGCCGGAATATGAGGGACACTATTAGGACATTCTTTAGCCTATGAAAAAATAAGGTCAGCTTTGACACCCCATTCTGTCATTGATCAATCGATACTTATCAGCTCCAGCTTATGGATAGTAAATGTATGATCGAGCCTGATGGATGAGTTTGAGAAATAGAGGTTTATCAATTTTTCTTCCTATTGCTATCACTCTATATTTAGTTCATCCGTTTCATCTCTCATTGTTACCTAAGTCTTTCGCCCTAAATTCAGTCGGAATAAAAGTGAAGTTTAGGCTGTTTCATGGCCAGTGGTGAGCTCTAATTAATCAGATACCGAATTTAAGAAACGGTTATTTTTTATGTTCAGCAAGATTTGGACGCGTGGATTTTGAAGCGCTACGTTTGTATATTGCGTTACCGCATTTTTGGCGTCCACATACAGCCCAAGCTTTTCAGAATAAACCCATTCTCTTATTAGTACGTTTCGCCCCTAAATTTTTTCAGCCTCTTTTTAGCGATGTATTTTATATCTGTTTGACACTTGCACGAAAAGTCTGAATTTGTACTTACAAATATATTTGTTAAATTAAGTTTTACTCTCCATCTTTCCAAACGTTTATCCCCAAATTTTTTAGTGAACTACTTCAGTTATACCATAGCAATTAATTTATCTCCGCGAAATTCTGCGTTATCAGTATTTGTAATGAACTAGGGATTTGATGTATTTAAATAAACAAACACTAGTTAATATTGGTGGGAGAATAATTTTTGTCTCCAAAGTGACATGCAGTGGAAAAGCGGATAGTCCTTAATATTGAAATGGAGAATAGGTGGACAGGTAGTTGTTGTCTTGGCAACTATCAATAGAGGTAAGTCACTCAACTTGCGTTCTAATGTGAGACATGTTTTGATTTGACCACTCCCTAGTTCTCTTCGAACTTACTCTTACATTGGACAGCGTCATTCGTGAAGGTAGTCGGTCTTTAAGCATGTCCTAATAACCCCTACCTTGATGTGGTGGTGAGGCTTATCTATTGTGATGACCGAACCGATCTATATTTACTGGAACATGTTTCTTCAGGTCCTTCGGTGCCAGTTCAGTTGGAGAACAGCAAAACTAAAAGCAGCAACTCAAGGTATGAGGGCAGAGTCGTACTCCTGACTAAAGGGGTGTGACGGCAGCAAGGTGTTTCCCTCGGGCAACTGACATCTGCAGCGATGCTGCCTTCTCAAAAGCAAGGAAGGGGTTAGAAAAGGTCGGTTCCGAAAATTTCACGCCTCACATTACCCCACGGATTTCCGTCTCCGGTGGTAAGAACTTCTGAAGAGCGGAATTAACACGTTAAAAGCTCATAAAAAGTTCATGCGTGGTCGACTTCAAGCATGTGTCCCTTGGACTCTGCGGTCAGGCTCTCTGGTCTCTAGGACCAACGCCAACCCGTTTTCCTTTTTATGTTCCTCAGGAAGTACCCTTCCTTCATGTGGACAACCGAAAAGTGAAGTCCGCCTTCATACTTGTAACAACACACGATACCAAATCAGTCATAATCTGACTGATTGACTTTCCTAACAACAGCATTGCTTACTCGATCGTCTCAGGATATACGAATAATGCCTCAAGGATACCTATGATTGAATACTAATAACCTACGAATATCCTCTCTCTTTACTGACCGTGTTTCACACCCGTAAAGTAGGACGGAACGAACCTCTGCCCAGTAAACCCGTCCTTTGGTTGGTAACCAGATATCTCGCTACTCTATAAGTGACGTAGATTGGAAATAGTCAATCGAACCTTCAGTATTTGTGTACCGATTTCGTCAGACACCAGGCCGTGGGAACGCTTAACTATTTAACTCCCCATCACCATTTCAGGTGTAGACGCAGGTCAATTCGGAAGCAGCATTTTTCATTTCGGACTTCACTTTCTGGTTGTTTTTTCCTTACGCTTAAAATTAGTGTTTGCTAGAAATAGGCGGTTATCTGAGCACAGTTGCAACAGACGGTCGCCATTGTCTGTTCTTTGAGCCGCGAGACCATAACATCCACCTAGATGTCTCTCATTTTCACTTAGTCTACCTACTTGAGCATTGAAGCCACCAGCCATTATAACTATATCAGAGCGCTTAACTTTTCGGAGGAGGTCCGAAAGCTTTCTGTAAAACTCATCTTTTACATTGTCTGGACTGCAGTCAGTGGGGGCGTAGGCTAACATGACGAAGAGGCAACGACGAGTGTCCCTATTCCTTCGAATCCTTACTGTCCCGTTTAGTCGGACGGCGCACAAACGACTATCTACAGGGATCCCGTCAAGGAGAGATAGTTCTGCCCTAGGACTCAATGCTATACCTACACCAGCGAGACCTCTGGAAGCAGCATCAAAGGGACACTTGCTTGAAGTCGAACACGCATGAATTTTTTATGAGCTTTTAACGTGTTAATTCCGCTCTTCAGAAGTCCTTACCACCGGAGACGGAAATCCGTGAGGTAATATGAAGTGTGAAATTTTTGGAAAACACCTTGCTGCCGTCACACCCCTTTAGTCAGGAGTACGACTCTGCCCTCATACCTTGAGTTGCTGCTTTTAGTTTTGCTGTTCTCCAACTGAACTGGCACCGAAGGACCTGAAGAAACATGTTCCAGCAAATACAGTTCGGCTGGTTTTCACCATAGGCAGACTCAACAATCACGTCAAGGTAACAGCTACGGTCAAGCCATTGATTGAAAATTTTGGTTACTACGGTTTCAGTATCCGTTTTCATTTAGGGGTCTCATCGTCTCAGGCAATACATCACATGTGGTTCTAAAGCTAGTAAGCGTCTGATTTCACAAATAAGTACCATAATAAATACTTTGTTAAAATTATCAGATATTGCACCGACATACAGAGCTATTTTGTACTAATACACAATCTTCTCTGGCGATTAAGAGAGTTGATAAACAGGAGCGGCTTTTATGTAAATAGCATTACTACTACTGTTAGGCCCGACCGAAGCTGCTACCTTGACGTGGTGGTCGGGCTTGCCTATCGTGATGACCCAACCGAGCTATACTGGCTGGAACACACGTTCCTGCAGGTCCTACCTTGCCAGGCAGGTCGATTGGAGAACGATGAGACTAAAAGCAGCTACCCAAGGTCTGAGGGCGAAGTCGTACTGCTGACTGCAGAGGGGTGTGACAGCAGTAAGGTGTTTCCCTCGGACAACCAGCATCTGCAGCGATGCTGCCTTCTCACAAGGAAGGAAGGGTTAGAAAGGGTCGGCCCTAAAAATGTCACACCTCCCCTACCTCACGGATTTCCGTCTCTTTGGGTAAGGGTGCCCACTAAGGGCCTTTAAGAACGGAGCTAATCCTCTAAATACCTCTCATAAAAAGGCCGTGCGTGACCGGCCTCAAGCAGTTGTCCCTTGGGCTCTGCGGTCACGCACCAACACTAATCCATCTTCCTTTTCAGGTTCGTCAAGAAACAACCTTCCACGGTGTGGGCAGCCGGGAAGTGATAACCGCCCTCATACCCGCAACAGCACACGAGACAAAATTGTTCAAAATCAAATCCTTCCTACATTCCCTAATACCTCTCTTATCTCCACAACTAACTCTTCTCACATTCATTCATCACAGTGCACAGCTAATGCAAACGATGCGAGTTTGCGAAACGTCGTTCCTGGTCTCCTTAAACCCCGTTCCAAACTACATGTTGGAGCATTCAATGTACGGACATTGTGTCAAATAGGGCAACAGGCATCATTAGCTAGGACTTTAGAATCTCGTTCCATCGATGTGTGCTGCGTCTCGGAAACGCGCATACAGGATCCGAGTAGCATCACTCATTTGACCTCACCATGTAAAGATAAAGAAGCAGCTCGATTTACCCTTCGTGTATCCGGTAGCCCTGATGCTGCTTCTAGGGGCCTCGCCGGTGTAGGTATAGCACTGAGTCGTAGGGCAGAACAATCTCTCCTTGACTGGATCCCTGTAGATAGTCGCTTGTGCGCCGTCCGACTAAACGGGACAGTAAGGACTCGGAAAGATAGGGACACTCGCCGTTGCCTCTTCGTCATATCAGCCTACGCCCCCACTGACTGCAGCCCAGATGATGTAAAAGATGAGTTTTACAGAAAGCTTTCGGACCTCCTCCGAAAAGTTAAGCGCTCTGATATAGTTATAATGGCTGGTGACTTCAATGCACAAGTAGGTAGACTAAGTGAAAATGAAAGACATCTAGGTGGATGTTACGGTGTCGCGGCTCAAAGAACAGACAATGGCGACCGTCTGTTGCAACTGTGCTCAGATAACCGCCTATTTCTAGCAAACACTAATTTTAAGCATAAGGAAAAGCATCTGCTGACCTGGCGACCCCCGAAGTCGTCTCAACGTTGGACACAACTAGATCATATCGCCATCGGCCACCGATGGAGGGGTTCGATAGAGGACTGTCGCTCGTTCTGGGGCACATGTTTAGATTCAGACCATGCCCTAGTGCGAGCACGTATTTGTTTGAGGCTTGCTGGACGTAGGAAAGTCACCGTAAGGAAGCCTCTTAGGGCTTTACTTGATGATAATCAAGCTAAGAAAATATTTCAGGAGGAACTAGAAAAACAGTTAGGCGGCCATGCAAGTGATTCCCATCCGGAGTCAGGTTGGAATCATATCAAGAAGGCTGTGGAAACAGCAATGGTATCTGCTAGCAAGGTAAACCACAATGCTAGGATGAAGCAGTGGATTTCAGTCGCATCCACCGAACTGATGGATGCACGAAAACGCATCCCACCTGACTCTGAACATGATGAAGAGCGTAGTCAGCTTAGGTGCAAACTTATAAAAAGCCTACGTAACGACCGTGAACAGTGGTGGGTGGCGAAAGCAAAAGCGATGGAAAAGGCAGCGGCGATAGGCAACGCTAGACAACTTTTCCGCCTTATTAAAGAAACTGGTATTAGGAACCCGAATGTGAGTGAGACTATCTCGGAAAAGGATGGTCTTATTATCCATTCTCAATCTAGGAGGCTGGACCGATGGGCAGAACACTTTAGGGATCAGTTCAACTGGCCTTCAGCCACTCTTCGGTTGCCCACAATCTCCAGTCATCCTGAATGGCAAATCGATTTAAGTCCTCCCAGTTTACATGAAGTTGAGAAAGCTATAGGAAATCTAAGGAGAGGTAGAGCGGCAGGTCCCGATAGGCTTACCCCTGAGATGTTTAAGGATGGTGGTCCAGTTTTAACGGTTAAACTGACCGAGATCCTAGGTAGAATCTGGGAAATGGACGTAATCCCATCTGACTGGTCTCAGTCGCTAATTGTCCCAATCTACAAGAAAGGACAGAAGTCCTCTTGTGACAATCACAGGGGAATAAGTTTAACTAATATAGTTTCTAAATTGTTAGCCTCGATTATACTTAGACGTCTAACTAGAGCTCGCGAAGAGCAGACTCGAGAAAACCAGGCTGGTTTTCGACCTGGACGTGGTTGTATAGACCACATTTTCACACTCAGACAGGTCCTGGAACACAGACACACATTTAGACGTCCTACAATAGTCGTGTTCCTGGACCTTAAGGCGGCATTCGACTCAGTGGATCGTGAGGTTCTGTGGCAGTGTCTGTCATTGAAAGGTGTACCAAAGAAGTACATTAACCTTATACAAGCACTCTACTCGAACACCACTGGTTGGGTGAGAGCATATGGCGAACTGTCATCTGAATTCTCTACATCAAGTGGTGTCCGTCAGGGCTGTCCACTCTCTCCATTCTTGTTCAACTTTGTCGTAGACATCCTCTTAGAGTTAACATTAAGCTCGTCAGATTTTTCAGGGGTTGACCTTCTACCAGGAAAGTCGCTTACTGATCTAGAATATGCCGATGACATAGTTCTATTCGGTGAAGACGCTGACAAAATGCAGAGTCTTCTGACTACCATAAGCAACAATGCGAGCATGTTCGGGATGCGGTTTTCCCCCTCGAAATGCAAAATGTTGCTTCAAGACTGGGTTGCATCGGCACCTGAACTAGTGATAGGGAGTGAAGTAGTCGAGCGTGTAAATCACTTCACTTATCTTGGGAGTCTCATCAGTGCTGACGGTCTGGTGACTGACGAAATCTCAGCTCGGATACAGAAAGCTCGATTGGCTTTTGCCAACCTGCGTCACTTATGGCGTAGGCGTGATATCCGTTCGCTAACTAAAGGGCGGGTGTACTGCGCAGCAGTTCGTTCCGTTCTCTTATATGGCTGTGAAACATGGCCGTTAAGAGTAGAAGATGTTCGTAGGTTACTAGTATTCGATCATAGATGTTTAAGAAGCATTGCTCGTATATCGTGGGACAGCCGAGTAAGCAATGCTGTCGTTAGGAAACGAGTACTAGGTAAGGATGGCAGATCAATCGATGAAGTAGTGAAACTTCATCAGTTGAGGTGGTTGGGACATGTGTTACGTATGCCTAACCACCGACTGCCTCGACGAGCTATGTTTTGTGGTGTAGGAGTAGGTTGGAAGAAAGTTAGGGGCGGCCAGACCAAAACATGGCAGAAATCCATGAAGTCACTGACAAGTGGACTGAGTCATGTTGGTAGATGTAGACTTCCTGGTTGGGGTCCGCGAGACGAAAGTCATCAATGGTTAGAGACCTTGAACGACATGGCTCAAAATCGTTTGCAATGGCGCAGGTGCATCCACTCTTTGAGCTCTCTCAAATCCTAATCTTCTGGATTCATCAGCACCCCTACCTTTGTCTTTCTAACCTTATCTCACTGAATTATATTTTTTGAATAATATCTTAAACCCTAGTCTTCTTTATTTATAACATTAATACCTCTACCATCTTTATCACTATGGGATTTGATTTGACATTTGCGTCTCTGTGCTAATAATGTGGTATGGCAACATGAACTTATGTACATACGTACGAAGTTCTACGTTGCAACTGACTACTGTTAGGCAAAAAATGTAGGGAGATAGTTGTTAGCTATCACTTCGCTTACGGTTTTTGTGTTCGGAGTCTTCAATATGTTAACAGTACTTTCAAATACATCTCTCTCTGATAGAGAATCCCAGAATATAACTTTTTCTAATGTCTAAGGCAGAATTGATGTCAAAATTGTAGTTAATGATTATTGAATACATAATACTCATGATCACATGTACTTTATTGTATGCTGCATTATAGGATAATGTCTAATAAAACAAAGTCGCATGATGGAGCTCTTAATAATGAAGAAGTATGAATCCGATTGCCAGTATTTCAATCATTTAATTCAGAATTCAAAGTCAACAAATTCATTTTATCATGAGGAAAATTCTGTAAAATTGGATGGAAGTGCTCATGATCTTTTACAATTCCGAGATTATTGTGAATCATTACGTGAGTCCATAAAAAATACCTGGCAGCGTAAAAAATCACAGGAGAAGGTATCTTAAATACACTTACCTGAATACTGTTTTCAGATTAATGCTTCCCAGTTTGCCTTTCTGATGATATCTATCAAGGAGTTAAACAGAAGAACACAGTTTAGAATTCGAAAATCGCGAGAAATAACTGCTGAGGCATGACATTAAGATTGTTTGATAATTTAATTCAAATAGAACAAAAATAAAGTGGACCAGTTGCACTTGGGTTTGCAAAATCTTTTATATGAAGTTGCTCATCTTGAAAATGAAATTCAAACATGCTTAGAATTTAGGTAAGCTATATTTTAGTGTTTTTTTTACTTACTATAATAGGTCTCGACATGAAGATATAAAATTAATCCCAGTGAAAGAGTTTTATGAAAAAACTGGGCGCACAGTAGTTTTTTGTTTCATCTTTTACAAATCTTTAGGTCGGAAGCTTATCAGAACATGAGGAAACGCTGGAGCGTCTTCATTGGGAGCTCGAACAACGGAAGGCGTAATTTCCTTTTTATTCTATAGTCAATCTTTAATCTATTTCAGTTTATCTGACTCCTGTGATAAATTAAAAAGTGCGGTCGAATCTACCTCACAAACTATTAGAAAGAAACGAAATTATCTAGCTAGTTTTGGTCCAAAGTTGAAAGATGTCGCTGAAGTAAATTATTTGATTACTACAGTAAATTTTATAAACTACTTTTAGAGCACTTTAATTGTCCAAGAATTAATGGACTTACCATTTACGAACGAAAACGAACAATATAACTTGGCATTTCTCCTGCCTTCACCACTATATATTCTGTACTCCCTTTTAAAGTCATATATATCTATGTCAGGTAGTTTAAAATACATTTTTATTCGAGTTGGATGAATTTTGATTATTCTGGAACTAAGAAATGTAGCATATTTAATTATTTAGATTTGACTTAATAACTATGCGTTTTTTCATAATCTTAGTTTTGAGACGTATATGTAACGATTAGTAATACCATTTGGATATTTAAGCAGTAGTAGGTAAAACGGGGTTTTAATCACCAGCCTGATATACAGACCTTGACTATCGCATCCTGCAGTTTTGAAGAAATATATATATATATATATATATATATATATATATATATATATATATATATATATATATATATAAGAATTAACAGCAAAATTACAGTAGATAAATAAATGTGGTATGATTAATGAACCTTTACTAGTCATTATTGTAAACGGAGAACAGTTCAGTTATTGTTAGTTGGACTAGTTGTAAATAAAAGTTCAGGTTTTCATCATGAACTGAACTCAGCTCTGATACTAACGTTTTGTTTATAAACTTCAAAAATATAGGGTTGAGATTTGGAACCTGGAATTAAGATAGGAGGATAATTCTTAGCCACTAACATACTTGAATATAAATTGAATGATATCAGGCACTTTCGCAGACCGTCTTCATCTGTTGCAGATGTTTCTCATAATTTACTTTAAGCACCATGATACTGTTTGACTTCTCAGGGTGTATGTTTTTTTATCAACTACAAGTGCTTTAGAAACGAGCTATTAACAAATTCCATTTAGTTCATGGTAAGATGCAAATTATCCTTCACCGTGCATTGAATTCCTGGGGAAAATAATAAAAATAGTCTTTTAATCCTAACCGATTCACTTAAGGTTGTCAGTATTCCAAACCTTTACCATTGTTGATTAAATCAACTTCATTTATATTTGTCAGCAAGTGTCCATTTGTTTGATTCCTGTTGTATACAATGGGTGTATTTTCGTTTTAGTAGTGGCTAACAGCCCATTTATTTGATAATTGATAGCCAATGAGATCTCAGACACGGGTCTCATTCTGTTTAGAATAGAACTTTTCATCTGCGTACTAACACAGATTTTAATGCAATATATATAAGTTTAAAGACTGTAAATTATACTATGGAATTGATTCCCTATTTTTAGTTAATTAGTCGCGTTGTCGACCACTGGACTCCTTATGCCTATGTTCTGAAGAGCACGTTCCATCATTTATTATCCTATTAAATTGAGTGCTTTCCAATTTGCGCTACAAATCCTCGACTACACGACCACTTCTTTTATATTTTCAGTCTAAAATATAGTGGGTTCTGATTTTCGTCCTAGAAGGAGTTGAAGTATTTTATTGCGGTTTCAAAAGTGCCTTGATTGGCTACATGAAAGGAAATAATGTGTCGCGAGCATATTTTAACTATTCTATTGATTTGGTCTTCTTTTTACAGGGAAGAAATCAGAACTTTCTGTATCAATCGAAGGTGATTCGGAATTAGCCAAAGCTGTTAATGAAACAACCGAGCAGTCGGAATCCCAATCCTCGCCACAGGAAATTGACGATTCTGATGTAGAAGATGGAGACAGAAATAAAAAACGGGTTAGTTTTAGTTTTATATTTTATATGTCACATTCACATTGAAACGCGAACTATCATAGAATCACTTCATAAAGTCACTGATTATATTAGTGTGATATCTGTAAGCGACAATAAGTTTTGCGCTTTTTGTTTCCCAAACAAAACCTTAATATTTATGAGTGTTAAGATAATTGACTAACGGATATGAATACAATATATTTTGAGAAAGTAATACTTTAGTTCGGCAATACTGAAGTAAAGTAAAATAGAAAAGTGAATAGATCATGACAATGGAATTAATATGTTTATAATTATCAAACTATTGCTCTTTGTGTTCTCTCTAATCCTAATCTTCTGAATTCTTCATAATCTCTATCTTTCTCCTTCTAAATCTATTCCACTGAATTATACTTCTCGAATCATATCTTCGCTCCCTAATCTTCTCCATTACTGCTAATACTTCTACTATCGCTATCACTCTTGGATTTGAACTGACAGTTACATCTCTGTGCTGATGTGGTATGGCAACCTGAACTGATCTACGTACGTACGAAGTTCTGCGTTGTATCTGTCTGTCTGTCTATCAAACTATTGTGAATTTAAATGTAACATAAGAATTTGTTATGTTTTTCTTTTATCCTTAACATATATTATCATAGTAGATTAGCTTCAAGTCTTTTATACTTACATTAATGTATTATTCATAGTTATTAGAAACTATCATTCCAATGCTTAATCAGTGATAGATATATGAATTTGATGAAAAGAATAAAATATCATTAACCCATTAGGCTTAACAAAAGATTTCTTGTCCATGTTTTGTTAAAAACGAAGAAGATATTCTTTATACCAATGATTGTTGTTAGCAAAAATCATTAGAAAATGTGATTTTTACTTTCACTATTTCTTTAAAACAATTATATTCTTTAAGAAAAACACAATTCTACTTCTATTTTTGTGTTAGAAAAAGAAACGTCATGCAACCGAATGCATCGATGATACAGATAAAGAGTTTCCCAATGAAAAAACAATCAATTTACATCCATTAACTGTTTTGTTAACAGTTTCTGTTCCGAAAAATTCAGGTGGGATTATTTTTCTAAAAAATCGTATTCTTTCTTGTTTTATTGATGAAATTACACTTATAGATATAAATGCGGCTGGTTTTCGTTTTTATTTTTCATTTCTAGCAACAGACATTAAAATTTGAATTGTTGTAATCGTTTGAAATTCAATTCAATTCGATATAATTAATTTTATAGTGAATATTGAAATTCCGCTTAAATTCATATTTCTTTTAAGAGATCATTCGTAAACTAAACATTTATGCACTAAATAAATTAAGAAATAAATAGTTTTCTAACTAATATGATAAAATAATTGTTTCTATTTAACTATATTCTTCCATATTTCTTTTTTCATTTAAGAATAAACAGATTGTTTTCATACTCAAACTGTCTTGTCATTATGATTTACTTGAATATATCTTTTTGAAAACGATCAACTTGTCAATAGTTGTGTTTCAGAGTGATTGTACATTTACAGTGGCTACATTAATTACAATAACTATTGAAACTATAGTAGGTTTTACTTGTAGAGTAAAGTTACATGACTAGTGCAAGTGTCAGTCAGAAGCAACGTAGAACTTTTCGTACGTAAGTACATCAGTTCATGTTGCCATACCACTTTATGACACTTGTACTAGTGCAAGTGTACATTTCAAGCATGAGAAATTGTTCTTGTGCCTTCAATTAGGTCAATGCATAATAATACATATGATCAAAAATATTGTATTGAATGTAATTTAATTCACTTCCTTCCTTTTTTCTCTCTCTCTCGCTGTAGATATACCACTAAGTGAACGTAGTTTTAGTATCAAATTATCATTTGCTTGGATGTTAAATTTAAATTTGGTCACAGTGAGATTACAATTTCCACTAGATAAAACTACTTCAATTCTCCGATCAAAAACTGGAAAGTAAGTGATAAAAATTATGGGACAGTAAATTTTTTATTCATGTTTGTTTTTTACTACTATGATTGATTATTGCAGAAAATCATATTTTCTACGAGTGATAATTTTGTGTGAAGTTGAACGTAACTGTAATTAATTTTCAGCTGTCAATAAGTAAGAAACGATTACACACGTTATGTAGTTAAGTTTAGGACCGTTATGTCACAGAGCATGATAAAGTTTGTAGACTTGTACACAATTCAATGTAATTTTAGTCAGTATTATAGTATTTTATAAATTATGTTTATGATACTGTCAAAACTTGATAGTTTACTATCATATCTCGATATTGTTACTTTGAAACTTCCTTTATATTTATTGTGCTTAGACGCTATTGAGCGTTGGATTACTCACTGACTTAAGTTTTGTATTATTTGTTTACTGTAGTTTTTAATCCAATTGTCTTTTGATGGAAAATCAATAAAAATTACTAGTCATAAATTAGTTATTTTGGTTACTGACAAATGTTGTCGGTCTGGCCACAGATGCAAATGTGATTTGATTCATAATGATCTATAGTCTACTGATAATCAAACGAACCATTCACTAAATTGTGATGTCAATGCATCAAACTGCTTGATCTATATTAATCAAGGACTTACTTATATTGCTTGGTTGCTGAAATCAGTATGCATGTCGGAAAATGGCCATGTATATTTAACGCGTTAATTTCTGTATTCTGTATATCTACCACTTTCTAGTTACTTTAAAAACTATTCGCTAGTCTGGGTCATAATGAATTTTATGTATGTCTGTATAGGAAACCAGTTAAGATTGTATACTTGTTACTAAATATGTTAGCTTATTATTGACTATATGTTTCTGAGTTTTTCATCTGCCGTTAAAACTAGATCACATCAAAATTAAATATATGTTTGTCATTTTGGCAAGCTGCCGTACTGTTCTTTAAGTAAATAAGACTGAAATTCTTGGTGAAATCGGTAGAATCCGCTAATAGTTTTCCTTTTTTCGATTAGTTTCTAGACGTGAATTTGAAAGAACTGTATTATTATTTTACAGATTTCTATTAACCATACCTAGTAGTGTTACAATTTGTTTCATTTGAAGCCCAGTTAGATTTAGCTTCATTTTTTCTTCTGTATTTTTATAGTAGCTTACTTAATTCTGAACAGCTTTTATCCTCTTTGCATTGGTCTTGTGATCAACGTGGTTTTGGTGATTGTAGTTCAGATATACCTATTTTATTCCTTCCTAATTCACAACAATCATTTATATGGAATGCATGTGAATCCATCGGACGACCATATTCTTGGGCTCAACAACTCTCAGGCATAAATTGCTTTCCAGATAAATTACCTGATAATAAATATGGTGAACACTCATCAAAACCCACTCGATCAGAACATTTTGGGGAAATTGAATCTTGGGTAAAATCTCTCCAATCGCGAATTATTGACAGACTATATCTTCTTGAGGAGGTGAGTGTAATTATTCATGAACTGTTCTATAAGTAACTATTTAATGTATAAAATCTTATATATCATATGTAACATTTTGTGACTTGCTATGTAACTAACTCTAAGGATGCAATACAGGACAGTGATCCAGTGAAAACAAATCAGTTGAACAGAATAATGCAATTAAGTCAACATCATGTTGATTTTTCCTTATTCATACACTTGATAGAGAGATAAGTATAAATTGGAACTGAAGTTCATAAGTTCTATCCAATATTTTGGCTAGCAAATATTAGCTCATGTGTAAAAGTCCATTAGTGACAGGCCATCTGTTGTAAATAATTAATTATAAAAGCTGTTTGAGTTCTTAGTTTTATACTACAACGAACTTTTTGTCAACACACTGAAGAGGTATGTTATTTTTATATTCCGATCGAGAGAAGCAAGCAGTGTCCTTAGGCTCAAGAGAAATCAACATTCTTTTATGAATTGCTAGATATATATTGTCCTAAATAACTGCTACGAATCTCAATTTCTTTTTTGAGATTTGTCAGTCTACTGAAAATATTTTTCGTCATCAGGTGCAAACTACTGTCGAGCAATAAGTAGTAGAAAAGTATATCACATCAAACTACGTCTGTAACGTAATCAATTATCAGCTCACGAGTAAAAATCACGTGCATTATTTCTGTCATAACATAGTTTTTTTCCGTTTAAACGTATGTTTAAACCTACGATGATGTTTTAGATATTAGTTTTTAATGTATAGAAAAGTGATTCGAAAGTTTATTTCAATTAATGTCATCGTGAGATATAAACAGCTGTTCATGATCAGTTAATTTTATCGGGTTTTCAGATAGTATGGTGTTACTGTCATTTAGTTATTTTGTATGGTGTTATTTAATACTTTACTAATTGTGTTCTGCGTCTTAGTAAATTGGGGATTGGGGGATACTTTTAGAGTCATATACACGTAACCTGTAATACTCTCACCATAACACTACTTGAAGTGTATTTATATCAATCAGAGCGTGTAGTGAGAAAAAAAAGGAAGAAGGCCTGTACTGTCTCATTTGTAGGTAAAAGGCTGATATAGTTATTGTGTAGTTTATGCATAACTTTCGACAGTAAGGAATTAGCAGACACTCGCGTGATTCCAATTTCTGGTTTTTGACAAACTTGGTAAGCGAACTCAAGCATTCAAAGTGTAAAATGAATAACTGAAATTAAAGAGTGCCCATCAGGGATGTCCAATTTACCCATTCTTGTTCACTTTCGTCATAGACATGCTGCTAGATAAAACATTATCTTCAGGAGTAGACTTTCTACCAGGAGGCTCACTTATTGACTTAGAATATGCCGATGATATAGTTCTATTTAGTGAAGACGCTGACAAAATGCAGAACCTTCTGACTACCGTGAGCAACAATGCAAGCATGTTTGGGATGCGGTTTACACCATCGAAATGTGGAATGTTGCTTCAAGACTGGGTTGCATCGGTACCTGAACTAGTGATAGGGAGTGAAGTAGTCGAACGTGTAGACCGCTCCACTTATCTTGGGAGTCTCATCAATGCTGATGGCCTGGTGACTGACGAAATCTCACCAAGGGGATATAGAAGGCTCGACTGGTTTTTGCCAACTTGCGTCACTTATGGTGTAGACGAGATATCCATTTGCTGACTAAAGGACGAGTGTACTGTGCAGTGGTTCGCTCTGTCCTACTTTATGGCTGTGAAACATGGCCGTTAAGAGTAGAAGATATTCTAGCCTTCTTAATTAATCATCACCTCTATCTTTCTCTTTCTAAATTTACCTCACTGAATTATACTTCTTGAATAACATCTTCGAACCCAAATCTCTCCGATTACTTCTAATACCCACACTACTATAGGATTTGAATTGACAATTATCTATCGATGCTAATGTGGTATAGCAAGCTGTACTTCTGTTGTAGTGTGCCTATAACTGCGTGTTCTTAAGCTCTGTTTATAAATCAGAAGATGAACTCCAAGTATCGTATACGTTTATTTGAGGCACACCACATAGCGAATTGGAGAAGGCTAAGAGCCAACTCTTTGGATTACAATGCAAGCGAATGAACGAAGCGACGTGGAGAAGGCTAGTGAGCCAACTCCTAGAGATAGAGTATGACTAAGAATATATAGTCAGATAAGAATAAGACAGACATATGACAATCGAAATAGGTATGCACACACATGAATAAAAGCAACGAATGATTGACAAGGTCAAATGACAAGCGATACAAATCATGTGAGTTCATGGGAATATTACGAGATTAACATTAAAGCGAAAAGGATGAGTAAGTGCGTAAGCGTAAGCAATGCTCAGTCGTACAAGCTCATACAAAGCAGATAATAAAAAATACCAATGGTACATATGAGTTGTTGCTATGCAAATGGCTTGGTTAAATAAATTAATCGAAAGGGCTTAACCAAGTTAGATGTAAGAGTACTGGAATATATGTGGAGGCACTACACTGTACTTACGTGCAAAGTTCTATGTTGCCGTTGATGATGATGGTGATGATGAAACTAAAGAGATTTTATAACAACTACTCAGTAAATCTTCCCTGCATTGCAATCATTTACTATTTATCCATATGCATTACTACGATTCTCTGATATTTGATGAATCTCAGGCTCTTTGAAAATAAATAGTTACTATTCAATTCATTAGCTGTTAAATTTTTTTAAGCGTACATGATTCATATTTTCTAACGAGGTATAAAATACCAATACAAACTATTGTATATTCATTAGGGTATTTTTTAAAACCATGAATCATATGTCGACGAAATCACAGGCAGACAATTAGAAGTAACTTGAACATTCAAAAACACTGTTAGTCAGTACCGAGAAACGATTTACATTTAGTTAATTTAGACACAATCAGATTAAATTGAAGGTACCGTTCTAATTTAGTTGTTGTAATATCTTATTTTATATTGCATATGCGAATTAAGGTAGTTAGTTGAATGAGACACATTATCAGGTGTGTTAAGTTAGCTGTGTAACATATAATTTTTTTGAAACGTTGTAGTTATATTAATGATCCTACATTCAGGATATTCCTTCTGGTAAATTTCCGTTAAAATAGGATGGTTTTACCGGTTATTGAAGGTCTTAAACTATGGTATAAAATCTATAGGTTGAGAATTAATTTTTGACGTAAATCTTACAATCTAGACAAAATTGAAATGAATGCTTATAGATTTAAACTTTAGCAAGTAATTTTAGTACACTCGAATAATATACATATTTTTGCTTCTTATTTCTTTAATTCTTCATTGTTACTAATTGTCTATTGTCTAAAAATTTAGCTTTCAGAAATCGAACGTTGCAACTTAGTGTTATCACCGGAACAACAACAATTAATCCCATCTGATACTGAAATTCACATTATTCGATGGAAGAATTGTGATTTCGAAGCATTACAGGTGATTTATTTTTCTGAAATTGTTGTATATTTTTGTTATCTGTTAATTAAAAATTATTTAAATTGTATGATATCATTATAAAGATTAATGGTAAAATGTTTTTGTTTTAATGTTATAGTGTAGCATTCTGTATTTGACTTAGTGACATTGTTGATCACCACATATTTAGCTCTAGTTACAAAAATTAGAACATTTTTTTACTGCTTATTCATAATAATTTGGTTTTATTAAATAGTAGTATATTAACAGTGAAGTTGTTTCAAATACTCTTTAGTCATTGTTCAATGACTAGAACTCATTGTTTTATACTCATAAACGCATTTCGTATCCTGCTCTGCATTGTTAAGTATTTCGATATAATTCACCGTCCAACATTATTCATCATTCATGTTAATTAGTTTACAATTTATATTTATTGTCTATTAAAAGTTTATTTCGAATTTTTGTTTTACAGTCTGTTCCTCGTGCTCAAGTGATGTTAGCTTTAAATGTTATTCGTTCTGAAGATGCAGTATTCCAGTGTCATTTTGGAAAAGATGAAAATCGTAGGTCAATATGATTTTTACTTTATATTCTACATGTGATATATTTTAAAAATGCTTTTTCATTAACAAGGAATTTCAACCATGTAAATTAAATCACATACACTAGGTTGTGAGGTCATAGTTCTGTGTGTTTCTTTTTGACATTTGTTGACATTGATTATTGTTCATTGGCCGTAATAAAATGCATAAATGCAGATTTTGAACATCTGATTAAATGATGCGATAGTTTAAACCCTTGTTCTCCCGTCCCTGGTTAAAACCTAAACTTTGATCAGATTCACCCAAGTATGTTCTCTCATTTTTTTTTTTCGCACACACAACAATTATGACTTGTAGTTGAGTACATGATTATATTTTTTGATTTGGCTTTCTTCAACTTTTTTTATGTGTACAGTTTATTCTTAATTCACTGTGTATGTATGTATTTTTTTTAATTCATTGTTCAGGTTTTGTCACAGTATGGGTTTGTATTCCACCACAATATCCGCATAAAGCACCATTATTAATTATAGATGGATTAATCAATTATGTCAGTACTGATGATGGTACACATAATAAAGAAGAGAATATTGTGACTGACTTATCTGATCTTCATATACAGGTGATTCTTAATTATTATTATTATGATTATTATTTTGTATATTATATAGAAGAATCGTATCATTTACATATTTTGATAAAAATTGTTTTATTTCATTTCACATATGAACATTATGAAGTATAATTAGGCTTAATGTATCCAATATTTTTCTTAATAAACTTTATTGTACTGTTTACAGTTACCTCATGTACTGTTTTAAGTCGTGTAATCGACAAATAAAAGAACTATTAGGAATCTTATGTGCACCAGGGGGTTCGACAATTATTTTGTTATTAACTTTTTAGTTTTCATATAAAACATATATATTTATATATTAGTAACTTGATGTTATTGTTAGAAGTAACTGACTGTAATCTTAGGTCAGCTTGATTATGATGGAGTTTCGTTCTCTCAGCTAGATGCTTTAGTTGTGGAGCTTTCATTGTTCTTCTGAACAACATCATTCGCATAAACGTCAATTAGAAGTAAAGTATTCAAATCGCTTGAGCTCTATTATTTTTTTAAACGTATGTTTTACAAAACAGCTGAACAATAGACTATAAAAATTCTAATTTCTTGATATTTATTCACCAAGATCGTAAGTAATTCTTACTTATTTATTCAATACATGCTTTCATATACTATCTGTCCTTACATCAATATTGTACATATGTCACTTATGTATGAAGCTTATACTACACTCGGATGAAAAGGTAAAAACTATCTAATAACCAAATTGGCTAGTTGAACAATTCCAGCATAAGTTCAACAGTGTTTTTTTTTAAACTTAATCAAGATTGTTGGGAAAATTTCAAAGTTTCCGTTAATCACAAAGAACAGTTGTATATTTTCTTCATAAAATTGAATATATATATATATATGTACCACATCAGTCATGCTATGCAGTAATTAAGTTTATATAATGATTTGCGTATCACTTCTTAGTAACGGCATCACTCAGTGTGAAAAAAATGTTATCATAAATCCGAATGAATGTTTATCATGTGTATTCAAGAAGTGGTGTTGACTGATTTATGTAAAACAAATTTTTTTAAAACATTATTGTACATCATTTCAATTTCATGTCCATATATGTATGTGTGTGTATAAGCTGTCATTTTTCTGTGAAATATTCAATCAAGATAATATTATGACTTGTCACATAAACACTGAATAATCAAGGTGAAAAAAATAAGGGTCATCTAGTAGTAGTAGTATTAGTGGTAATCAATGATTATTCGAAAAAATTGAGATTACTGGTAATCTGCTGCTACCTTGTCGTGGTGGTCGCGCTTGCCTATCGTGATGACCCAACCGAGCTATATTGGCTGGAACATTTGTTCCTGTAGGTAGTACCATGACAAGCAGGTCGATTGGAGAACGATGAGACTAAAAGCAGCTACTCAAGGTCTGAGGGCGAAGTCGTACTGCTGACTGTAGAGAGGTGTGACAGCAGTAAGCTGTTTCCCTTGCAAACTACCATCTGCAGCGATGCTGCCTTCTCAGAAGCAAGGGGGGGTTAGAAAACGTGGACCCTAAAAATATCATACCTCACCCTATCTCACGGATTTCCGTTTTTAACACTAAGTCCTAATACTTTAAAAACATTTCATAAAAAAGTGTACGTGACCGGCCTGAAGCAGTTGTCCCTTGGGCTCAGCGGTCAGGCTCTCAGGTCTCTAAGACCAACACTAATCTACCTTCCTTTTCAGGTTCTTCAAGAAACACCTCTCCACAGTATGGGCAGCCGGGAAGTGACATCCGTCGTCATACCTGTAGCAACACACGAGACCAAATCGGTCACTATCAAATCCTTCATACGATCTGTAAATGTTTAAATGAACAAATTCACATGTTACATTTATTTTGTCACGCTTATTTTTTTCCATTTTTTTGTTTACGTAAGTTGTGAAAAATGATTATTTTGACCATTTTTCTCTTCTCCTATTTCAGGAATTAGAAACTGAAGTCAATTGTTATTGGCAAGAATTTTTCACTTCATCTTTCAATCAAACTAATGGTCATGCAGTTGTAAACTATGCTAACAATACTAATGTTACTACTTCTGATAGTATTGGGAATTCTGAAAAATCATTTTATGCTGTTAGTAATCAACAGTATATTGGATTAAATAAATGGCATCGTAATATATTATCTTGTCAATTAGCTAGATGTGCTGCTTGCATTGATGCATTATGCCGTGATCAAATGATTTGGAAAAATTCATTGAAATCAACAAACAATTCATCAATTCGTTCTGTTAAGTAAGTAATCATTTTTGTCTGTACAGTTTAGTATTTTGCGTATCGTGTAAGTGATACGATTAAAAAACTTTCAAATTTTCGTATTATTTAGTCATTCTTGAATCCTCGAGATAAAGTCTTTAACATCAACTTTTAAAATGTCATGTTTAGTATGATTGTATAGGGAAGTTGTGAATCTAAGATTTATTTCTGAAGATGGATAATACTCTCTAACTATTCAAAGTTTTGTAGTTAGTGTTGGTTCACACACTGATTTCAAATTTTGTGTTCTAATATGTGGGATACAATCCTATATGTCTATGCGATAAGATTAATTGACTTTATTTTCTTAGTCTATGTACTGTCAATGGAAAATGAAGCATCTGTTAATAGCTTTCTAAACAAAGTTGTTCTCAAAACATGTATCACTGGGCTAAGTTCAAGGGTAGTTTTAAGCCTCTTGAAAATAATTGGTTGGATATTCATTACATTGACAGCTAGCTTTAAAAGATGGTAAGTAGAGTTGCTTATTGATTTGTAGAATGTTCCCCTACCAAACAATCGGTTTCTGTAGTCTCCTTATACAATGAAAAATCCCAGGTTCAAAATTGTACTTGAGTTTTTCGCGAAGCATTGCTCTTATATCCTGGGACAACCGAGTAAGCTATGCTGTTTTTAGGAAACGGGTCCTAGGTAGGGATGGCAAATCAATAGATGAAGTAGTGAAACTTCATCAGTTGAGGTGGTTGGTACATGTGTTGCGTATGGCTAGCCACCGACTGCCTCGACGAGCTATGTTTTGCAGTGCAGGAGTAGACTGGAAGAAAGCTAGGGGCGGCCAGACCAAAACATGGCAGAAATGCATGAAGTCACTGACAAGTGGACTGAGTGATGTCGGTAGGTGTCGACTATCTGGTCGGGTCCGCAAGATGGTAATAATCGATGGTTAGAGACCTTGAATGACATGGCTCAAAACCGTTTGCAGTGGCACAGGTGCATTTACTCTTTGTGTTCTTTCAAATTCTAACCTTCTGAATTCCTCATAACCTTGATCTTTTTCCTACATTTCTCTTATTGAATTATACTTCTTGAATAATATCTTCGAACCCTAATCTCTGTGCCAATGGGGTATTGCAACTTTCACTGATGTTGTTATTAACTTGACTTGACTCTCTGTTGTAATTATTTTTTTAATCTTTCTTCTAACAGGTATCCAACACGAAGTCGTCCTATTCGTTACTTACCTTCACCTGGTGCATTTGTTCATCGTTAATACTGACAGCATATTTTGTATCCTTCATAACCCTATTGTTTTTTGGATAAGCCTACTTAATCCCTGTTACGTTTTTCTATTTTCTGTGGAAATTTTTTCTCTCTCTAGTTATTATAAAAAGGAAGTATTTTTCTTTCCTTATTGTCTTAAAATTTTTTCTAAGTACAAGCTACAATTTTTTTTCTATTGATAAACTCTAAACTACATAATAATGTTATATTGTACTTTATAAGTAAATATGCATTTGTTTGTACATAACATTTCTATGTAAAATATAATGACTGATGTGTCATTTGTTTTCAACATCACTAGAAATATGTTATAAGATAAATCAAAAAGTTCAAATGTTTATCTCTAAGTTAGATGGTATGTAAATCAATAAATAGTTTGCCCTAAATTTTTGATTTTTTTTTTCTAATGCCATTTGTTAATTCCAGTTAACTAGCTATTTCTTTCTTGTTAATACTACTATAATTTGAGAATTTTTTTATCTCATTTTTTTTTCAACAAAATGAAACTGTGAATTTCACTTTGTGTTATTATTACATCATGGGTTACATTTTGGCATTGTCGTTAGATGACGGGTTGATGATAGAAATTCACTTAGCTGATTAAGTTGAGAAATTCAAAACTTGTTTGTGTGAGTTAGTTGGTGTTCTTTTTCTTCGAATTTCCAAAATATTCATGAGTAGAGAAAAAAAATATTAGAAATTAAAATCAACATATTGAGAGAGAATGTTAATAGAATAAGTCAGGTACTAAATTTTTAGCACAATTAGAAGTTAATACAGTTGAGATATTGTAATCAATTCTTGAAACTACCGTCGATTGGGGCTTTTCAGTGCTGCTGCTTTCTGTATTTCTGCTTAATTTTTTCAAAAACATACTTTAGTAACTAAATATTACTCATCTGATTTTTTGAATAATGGTGGTGCTGTGATGAAATAGTTCTTTATGTGCGTTTTGGAGATGCAGCGTATATTAGTGGTGCGAGATTCTAAAGGCCTAGCTAAGGAAGCCTGTTTTTCTACTTGGCACAAGGTATGAACATTAAAATTCCCACCATGTAGTTTAGAGCGGGGTTTGAGGAGACCATGAATGACATTTTCCGAACTCGAATCATTAGCATTAGCGGCTCTAGACGATAAAGTTATACAAGAAGGGTTAGTCTTGGAGATGAAAGAGTTAATAAGAAGTACTTACTTACGTCTGTTACCCCTAATGGAGTATAAGCCGCGAACAGCACTCCAACCTACTCTACCTCGGGCCTTCCTTTTCAGTTCTATCCAACTGTTGCTCATTCTTTTTATGCCTGTCTCCCATTCTCGGTGTAATATATTGATTGGCCTTTAGGATTCCAAGTGAAAGTTTCCCCTGTGACGCATTTGGGTACTTTCCTGTCCACTTCTAGTGCTTCTTCCTGATTTATTCCCCTCCTGGAATCTGATTCGTTCTCTTCAACAGTAGGCTGGTGCTAATGGTGTTGGGTCCACAGATCCTTAGTATCTTGGGTAGACAACTGTTAATGAACACTTGTATCTTTTTGATCGTGGCTTCAATAGTTCTCCAAGTTTTCACTTCATTCAACAGAACTGTTTTGACGTTTGCATTGAAAATTGCAACTTTGGTGTTGGTTGGCACTTGTTTTGAGTCACAGATGTTCTTCAGTTGTAGAAATGCTGTCCCTTACTTTACTGATCCATGCCTTCATATCTACATCAGATCCACCTTGTTTATCAGTGATGTTGAACAGTTATCTAAAGGTTTCCACATCCTCTAAAGCATTCGCGTCAAGTATGATTTGGTTGGCACAAGAGAATTAGGCGTGGCTTTGTAGTTACTGCTATGTCTGCTTTCAATGCTTCAACTGGATCGTTATCTGGTCCTGCTACTTTGCAGCACTTGGTTTGTCTGACTTGCATCCAGTGTGTTTCACTGATTCTAAGTACCACCAGGTTATGTCTTTTCGTTTCTGCAGCAACTTGGTCGCTGACCCCGTGCCCAACCCTCCCCTAGTTTTAATGTTATTCCATCCATCTGACTCGATGTTATACTTATCTATTGAACTATATTCCTCATGTTTAGTAGGTCACTAGTTATTATTTTCGCTTCTTTGTTTCTCATCTTGTTATTTCTATTTGTATTCAGTGTGTGGCAAGGGTGGTGAATGTATTCTTGTGCTTGGTCATGCTTTGTGTATGAGCATGAAAAGACTTCTGAATTTCCATTGTTGCTTATATACTTGTTAGCACTGATACAGAAAATTCTTTCATCAAAGATTTGCGAATGACTTTAATTGCTATTAGTGAAGTTCTCGGCAAACTGGAATAATTGTATTGCATGTAGAAAAAGCATTAAATTTATCAATTGTTTAATTCTACTTTTTGAATGATAAGATCATCTGAATCAAAACGTATGAACTTAAAATTTGAATTTATGTAAATTATTTCTATTGAACTTAAATAACTTACTCGTATATAAATAATACAGTGAATAAATATTTGAAATTTTTAAACATTTATTTTATCATATTATTTTTTCTCTATAACTGATAAAATGTCAGGTTATTTATTTGTTTTCTTTTTTTTATAATTTTATTAGTTTGAGGTTAATATTGATTTAATCTGTGAATTATTTTTAAACTAATCAAAGTTTCTCAAACGATGTCAAATCAGCAAATAAATTTCTTCATATTTGGTCTGAACAGTATTACTTACTTGTTTTTAGTAATTTGTATAGTTTGTAGTTATTCTTAATCACTAACTTACAACGTCTCGTTAAGCACCTGTCCTGTTTTCATTTAGAGTTGTGCTAAGGAGATGTTATACTCGTTTCTAGGTATGCTTGGAACTATTAGGGGTTCACCTTAGTCGAATAACGGGAACAACACTTTAAACCAGCGTCCAGGTAGGCTACTGTGATCCGATTTTCCCGACTGTACCAGCAAGAAGTCTTGATATAGCGTAGAAAGTGTATTCTACAAACACCCAACCAGTACACAATGAATCCAAGCACAAAAATCGTGTTTATTTATACTCCACAGAGACGTCCTTGGGACAGTCACTAAATAGCACACTAAAATGACAGTAACCAATCACAGCCAAGGATTTTCCTGGTGGGAAATGTGATCTCAAGGTCAACCGATCGACCCATGAAATAAGTCCGAAATAAAGATATTTATCAAGCTAGTTCTGGGGATCTAACATCCCTAACAGGAGATCACAAGAAAAATCTAGTCTCAACAACAAGGCTGAAATTCTTTGGAAATGATAACTGCTCGCTCATTGTTTTTTCTAACTCAAGTTCCTGCATAATCTTTATTTTCTGACTGGTTTTCATCGTTGTTTAGTTCACTAATTTTCTGTATGCTTGAAGGCTATCTTATATATTGGTCACAAAAATTTTGTCCTGCTCTCGAATATCAAGTTCCTTGTAAATCTTTCTGTGTTAATGGACTTATGTTGATGTCTTGTGAGTGAAGTGCCTCTGTCGAATCCGTACAAATTGTAGGCTCTTACTGAACACAAACCATGGGATATAACCGATTTATTGAAGTAAATATACGCCTATAATCTCATAATTATTTGCTCATCGAAAAAACTGGTTCCAGATTTTACTGTGTGATTAAGACATTATAGATTAGGGTGGAAAACCTTAGTAATAAATAAACTTCTAAATTATTAGTTAGTTTAGTTAAGGTTATCTTCTTTACTTAAATTGATAGTAAGCCAACATTGTGCTATAGTTTAATGTATATCACAATTTTAACAGGATGGCTTCGGAGAAGTTTTCGAGAATTTATATCTTCTTTCCAACAAATTTCAATCAATGGTCTATGACCTTGGATGAAAATAAAAGAAAGTTAATTTATGATTATTTTAGTTGAAATCAAATATCTTGTTGTCTAAAATAATTATGAATATCAGTTGGTTGTATGCTTAGATCAACTTTCATATGATCCAATCAAACAGGGATGGACAATCACTTTCATTCATTCTACATCTATCTCTACCTGTCTGTTTTACACAATAGGATGATATTATATATTGGGGCATTATTTGTATGCACCATGGATTTCGACATTTGTTTAAATAATTTGTGGTATTATTAAAAAAAACACAACGTAATTCTACATTATTATTATTATTATTTTAAATCTCCTGCTATGCATATGGAATTTGTTGTTTTTCAGTAAAGAATTTTACTTGAACAGGAAAAAAAACAAACCAAAACTATCATAAATTGTATTGTCAATAACTAGCAAAATTTATAAGCAATTGAAGATTTCTATAAAAAGATTTAGAAAAAAAAATAAATTTTTTTTTCAACCATTAACCGATTTTTGTTTTTGTTTCATTGGTTACCACTGTGAAGTCGAAAACTAGGACAAAATGGCTGCCTTATATTTCATTGCCCTTTTTTGTATTGTACATAGTCCCACTTTCTTTTTTTTAACTGATGGAAAATTCAAATGTTAGAAAAGTAAATTCATTGATGAGGATAATAGTTGGAGAAAATGGAATCATTAAAACACCTAATAATAATAATAGAATAGATTAAACTTTCAGATAAGTATTTAAACGATCAATATTTGTTGAAGTCACTTCTTATCAGGCTTTACAAGTTATAATAAAATTTAAAATAACTACATTTTTTTGAAATCAAAGACTATGAATTTAAAGTTGTTGAGGAAATCAATTTTCATAACGTTTGTATATAAATATGGAGTGTAATATGTTGATTAGTTCATAGGTGTTATTCACCCTCATCAGATTCGAATTTTAGAACGCATACAAGTTGGTATAATACAAATGTAAATGTTCATCGACTCTAGGGTTCAGTTGAGTACTATGTGGTTTATGGCATTGTATAAAATACGAAAAAGGTAAATGGGATGAGTGCCAAACATTTTGTATAAATAAACGAGGAGAACGATATAATTTTTAAAGTGGTAAAGTAGGAGACTGAAATTAATGCCCTATAGAATACAGTTGTCTAAT